TCCATTGTCAAAATGTCTTTTTTACCTCCTCAATCCAAACACAAATGCACTAATTTTAAGAAAAAATTACCTATATGGATTTAGATTTGTTCCATTGTGGACACCAGTATTTAGTGAGGGCACGGTGTGACCGTTGTTGCGTGTGAGCTCCTGATTGTTCCTTTTAGTGCGTTTACATCAAATACAAACAACAGGAACGGAGTGAGTGATTTACATGTCATTCCTAAGTATGAGGGGGATCAGGAGCAAATGAGTGGTTGACAATGCGGCAGATGTGTTTGAAGCAAACTGGGCCAATAGAGGGAAGTTGACCTGTGAATGGGGGAGTGGAGGCAGGAGCAGAGCACAGACATTTAAACAGCTAAGCTTTTCATATCAGTTTAGTCTCCTTTTATGTTTCTAAGAAATAATTTCTACCACTTCTTCTCCTCCCCTCTCTGCTGCAGGTTTTGGTGAGATATTAAAGATGGCGGTTGGTTCTCGGGGTCTGACATCCCAGCGTCAGTCGGTCACTGACAACGGCTACATTTATCAGGTAAACCTTTGTATCAATGGGGACCTGGAGTTTACAGCTGTGAGACAAACTGAGACAGTTTATCCACAGCTTCAGCTGCTGCCCACCTGACTGGCTTCCTGCTCTTTATTAACAGGGTTTGTGGCTCAATCTCACAAACCAGAGATGTGTAGACGGCCAGTATATGTTGGTGACATCTTTATCATTCATAAATGATGACAGTATACACTAAAACATTGTGTTTTTTTCTCTAATAAGATGGTCACTTAAAGCCTAGCAAGAGATTAGCTCAGCTCCACAGTTGCTTAGCAACAGGAGGAAAAGGAAAGAGAGCTGGAGGCCTGGCGTTGCCCCGACAAAGATCCTGTACTCTAACAAAATGATGCAGCAATGGTTTAAGGGATGTAAATGTCTGAATAAAATTATTTATGAGTACATTTATTGCATCTAGAAACGTTTAGCTGGGACAGGTTGACATTATAATATGTATTTAAATACAGCTATCCTAACAGGTTTAAATTTAAAGGGAGCCACATCCTGCTGGAGGAGTTTTTTTTCTAAAGAAATGCTATTGTTTGCCTGATTGTTTGAACTGTTTATTGCTACAACTTATGTAAAAACTACAAACATGAAGTATTTTCTTTCATGTAAATGAGAACGAGTTGAGGAGAGTCTCAGAAAAGCATAAAGCAGCTGATTGGGGACTAAATCTTCCAGAATTTCTTCTTTTTTTTTTTCCAAACGTCAGCCCCTTTTCTAAATGTCAGCCCCGGGATCTGTAATCCCTGCTAACAGGAATCCCGGGGAGTTCATCAGCTGCGGCTCTAATTCACTCTGAAGCCCCCAAACTGAGAGAAACTGCTCTGTACCTCCAGCCCAGTGGGTGGCGCTATTATAAACACAACACTGGTTTTCCCTTTACTTCCACTTCCAACCAGCTATAAGAAAATGATAAAAAGCTTAAATTGTTTGACTTTGGTTTATTTGATCAAGCTGCATCTACGTTTGGAGCTGTGGTAGCTGAAGTTGGGAGCTAACTCTGGATCTCTCCTCCTTTAAAAAAAAAAAATTAGTTGGAGACATTTTTGCCCCATTTAAACTACCCTCTAAAAAACGATCCGTGCCGAGCCTAGATCAGTGCTGAACTCGGTTCCTTAAGACCGTTTACACATCGAGCTAGCACGGTTCCTCGCTTCCTAGTGGCGATCTACGGTACTACCGCTCTCTAAAGCTAAACACACAAATCAACATTGCGGTGCCCGTAACATTCAGGATACGACAAACTATAGTCTAATCAGCAGTGTTAGGCACGTTACTTTGAAAAAGTAATTAGTTATAGTTACTAGTTACTTCTCCCAAAAAGTAACTGAGTTAGTAACTGAGTTACTCCACAAAAAAGTAACTAGTTAGTAG